CTTCCTTCCTTCCTTCCTTCCTTCCTTCCTTCCTTCCTTCCTTCCATGCATGCAATTTTCTTAGAGGCTACTATTCAAACTGTAGTTATATTCAAGTGAGCTGATTATATCAGAAGGATTAACAGAAAGTTTAGTTACGATATTTTAATGGCAAAATTATTTTTGTCTCTATTTATGTGGTGTACTAAGAAAGGAAGCTGCATAGCCTCTTCTGGGAGCCAATTTTTTTTGTTGTTTTTTTGGTTTTTTTTGGTCAGATGACTTAGCCTAACATTCACTATACTGCTAAAAAATGTTTTCATTATTGGAAAGAAACAGGTGATGGTTCATATACTATCTTATACATGTCATTCATGAAGCTCACAAATAGTATGCTAGCATCATTACTTAAATACTGATGGAGCATTAACTCCACTTAGTATTCAGTGAGTGCAGCATAAACTTGATTTTCAGATATAAGTCTTTGATTGTGGATTGATATAGAGCATAGACCTCAAAAGGAATATAAAGGGAAAAAAAAAAAGAAAAAGCTTTATCTTCATAATTTTTTGGTTTTATTGTACTACACAGGGAATTCTAGTTAAGAGTGTGAAGTAAAACATACATTTCAACTGAATTCTGCTAATGATTTAGTCATGTCACAGTGCTGCAAATACTCAGAAAACATGAATTTTTATTACTTTTCACTCACCAGGAAAACTAACTCAGATTGTGTTCGGCCACTGGGATGTTGTCACTTGCCTTGCCAGATCAGAGTCCTATATTGGTGGTGATTGCTACATCGTGTCTGGGTCTCGTGATGCTACATTGCTGCTTTGGTACTGGAGTGGCCGACATCACATTATAGGTGACAATCCAAACAGCAGTAAGTATATCCTGTACAAAATACATCCCTGAGAGGTCTTCTGCCATGGGTATTAATTTTTAGAATCTCTTTTGTCAGCCTCTAAAGACATTACCATACTTAGCAACTACTTGAAGGTTGGTATAAGAGCACCACATGCTAAGCAGTTCACCGAGTACAAGCTAACAAAATACTTAAACAGTTTGTGCATGGTGGCAGATAATAATATGAGAGTAATTTTTAAATTCAGAACTGCACTTATCACTTATAGCGTCATGTCATTGTGAGCAAGAACAAGATGGTTATAGCCTTTAAGTGACAGAATGTATATCAATATATTTTGATTTTTCATTCACATGTATATATATATATATTTGCATTTTAATGTATTCTTTTTGTACCACAGCATGCTATATCAGCTGATTGCCTATTCAAACAAGGAATGTCTCAAATGCCTTGGAATTCAATGAATCTCTTTGAGAAAGGTCTTTCTGTAGCAAGCAAACCTTTGAAGAAGCAGTGTGACTGAATAAAAATAGAAAAAGATGAAATGTCAGGAAGAGTTTATGTTTCATTTGTAGAGGACTAAGAGTACTTTGCAGTGTAAAGGGGACACAATAATAATTTGTACAGAATATTTCAAGTGCATCTATTTGTAGAAGGATATAGAAGGATACTTACAGAAGTGCATTAATTTGCAAGGTTCCCAATGTGACCACAGTGATAGACAAGGGCAGCTTTTATCCTGTCTTGTACAACACATCCACATTTTTCATTTAAAACAGAGTTTCTAAATTCTGATGATTATTTTCAGCACAACAATATGTCTCTTTAAATAAGCATAGAAGAATCCATCACGATCAGTTCTGATCTCTGATTCAAATACTGATTGGAGGCTGTTGTAGACCTGCCAGTTACAGACATATAAAGGAAAGTGTTGCTTGAATGTCTCATAGAAATTGTTTTATTTTCATGGTACAAAGTAAATATTTTGTTAATTTGGCATAAGCAGTTTATTTATGTTTCAATTTTCTTCCATTTACCTATAACCAGAGTAAAGAGGAGAACAAAAGCCTCACATTCTCACCTGATTTTATTTTACTTTTGTAAGAGAGGGAGAATGAGGGCCAAAAATATAAAATTCCCTAACATATGTATTTTCCATGGCTTATTTAGCACTTAATTTTCACAAAGAGACAAATTCAATATGAAGAGAGATTTCATTTCAGTGCACTTTGTTTATCTTGATGTTATTTTATTTATTAGAATGCCTGTGTGATTTATGTCAAATATGGCAAGTAGTCACATCCAGGCAAATATAAACTCACAGGCACAGGTAGTAGCATTCAAAAAGATCAAACAGCCAAGTGTGCTATGCTAGCTTCCAAATACATCAATCTCATTACTTACTTCTCATGTTGAAGACACGTTGAAAGTTCATGTTGAAAAATGATTATTTCATCATTATTACTACTGTCTGTACTCACTGGATTAAAATTAAGTTGGATATGTTAATTGTGTACTAGTACTGTACAGAATCATAGAATCATAGAATCAACTCAGGTTGAAAAAGACCTTAAAGATCATCGAGTCCAACCGTGACATAATCATACTACCCTAAATCTAACAACCCTCCACTAAATTGGGGTACTATGTACTACAAGTACTATGTACTACATTAGTAGTACAGTCAGGACTTCATGTGTTGTAAACTTATCCTTATTAATAGAAATTTTGACTTTTCTTTGAGCATACGTCGGTAAGAACAGATCACAGCACTGATTATATGCATGAAGGACCTTCCACCTTCTAAAACTTGTACAATTCCACCATCTCTCTGGGCAGCTTTTTCAGTGCCTGACCACTCTCTCGGAGAAGTATTTTGTAACATCCAACCTGAATCTTCCCTGGTGCAACTTAACACCATTTGGTCAAAAGATCTCCATCTCACCAAGACCTCCCTTCAGGCAGTTGTAGGGAGTGATCAGGTCTCCCCTGAGCCTCCTCTTCTCCAGACTAAACAAGCCCAGCTCTCTCAACCACTCCTGATAAGACTTATGGTCCAGACCCCTCAGCTTCAATGCCCTTCTCTGGACATGCTCCAGGTTCTCAACATCTTTCTTACAGTGAGGGGCCCAAAACTGAACACAGTACTCAAGGTCAAGCCTCACCAGTGCTGAGTACAGATACATGATCTTTTCCCTGCTCCTGCTGGCCACACTATTTCTGATAAAAGCAAGGATTCTTCTTGGCCACCTGGCCACACTGCTGGCTCATGTTTAGCTAAGCATCAACCAACACCCTCAGGTCCTTTCCCTCTACAGAGTCTTCCCACCACTCTGCCTCAAGCCTGTAGTGCTGCCTGTAGTTGTTGTGGCCAAAGTGCAGGTCCTGACACTTAACCTTGTTGAACTGCATTGCATTGGCCTCAGCACAGCAATCCAGCCTATCAAGATCCCTCTGTAGGGTCTTCCTACCCCAGGCAGATCAACACTTCCTGTCAACTTGATGTCATCTGCATGTCATTTCTAGCCTTTTCCAACCCAGACCATCCTATGATGGGAAATGATTTAGCGTAGAGTTGTTAGAGTTAGGGTGGTATGGTTAGGTTGTGATTAAAGTCTTTTCCAACCTGAGCAATTCTATGATTCTGTGATTCTGATTTTCAGAAGTAAAGAGTTCTCATAAATCCTTTTGAAGTTAGCTTTAAAGTTTTAGATAGTTTAAGCCAAGGAAGTAGTTTTATAAAGAAACATTTCCTTATCTTCTCTTCTTCATTATTTACTAGTAGAAGATTAGGACTTGTAGGAAAAATGAAAGTGAGATGTTCAGTGTAGGTCAAATCCAATTAGTTAACATCTTTAGAATGAACTTCCAGAAAGATGTAGATGATATTTTCAGGGGGAAAAAAATGGAAGGATTAATTTCTTAAAAGCTGTCATCTGGAGACACAGATAAGGTATTTTATATCACAGAATGTAAGAAGATGAAGAATTCAAAGAAAAATGTCAGGTATAGTAATTATCTGGGCTGGGTGCTTGGCTTTATAATTATCTTTTAAGCTGAAAGACAGTTAATTATCAATTTCAGTTTCAATGCATGAAGTTACTAAAAGGATCTTTAGTTGTTTCAGAATACTGAAGGAGTGAGTAAAACAAGCCCCTAGTCCTAAGAAGTTTATATAATTTAACATTTGTATGGAAAAATGTATGTGGAATTCCAATAGAAAACATGGTTATCACATCTATTGTGAAACATTCTGAAACAAAATATTTCAGAATGAATTCCTTACCAATTCTCCTAAAATCCCACACTCCAGAATCCATGAGTTTGATGAAGTCTTCACTACATAACACATATGTCAGGAACCCAACCTGTTGGACCTCTGGGGATCTGAATCTGTGCTGATGTGTGCTCAGCAGGTGACCTGAGCTTTGACTGTGGGAAATGCAGGACCAGCGCTGGTTTAATGGGGAGAATGGAGAAAAACTGTGGCTTGGAAGAGACTCTTGCAAGTAGCAACTCCAGCTCAGTTGTTGGAAACTTGGCTATGAGAACATGGTGAACTCCCTTATAATTTTAATAATTTTTTTTAGAATCAATGCCTTTATTAAGTTATCACTTCTATTCTCCTACACTACATATCAAAAAGGAGTTTCTGGTTCAGATTGCACTTGTCACAGTTATTTTACAGGCTGTGAGAAGGGTGAAATTTTGCCAGATTTTAAATACAATGCTTTCCGTGGAGTGGCTTTCAAAAATAGCCTGCATAATAACCTTGTGGTTAGAATGTTTGTTCAGGAAGTAGGAGACTAAGTTCTCAGCCTCTAGAGGCTGATGGAATTCAAACCCGCATTCCCATATTCACAAGCATATACTTCATCAAATTCATGCATTCTGGACTATCAGGCTATAAATTAATGTGGGAGGGGACCCCTGTGAACCTCCAGCAAAATTCTTTTCTCTACTTCATTTATGGATTTTATATGACATAATGTTTGGATAAAAATAGAGATAAATCAAGAAAACAGAAACTGCACACATTTAGCAGCAATATGCAGGTCAAATCTCCCTACCTGTCTTTCTTCTGGTCCAACAAAAATTGGTTTTGTGGCTGCATAATGGCTAAGCAGTGATTGAGAATTATCTTCCTCAGCCTGGAATAGAGCCTGGAGATGCTCCTGGTGAGTGGGAGATGTGGTATGAATTCCCCTAGACTAAGGGGGAGCTGAATGCTGCTTCGTATGTTTTTATGTATATTTAAGCCTCCTCTTATTTCTTTAGCTTTAGTTAAATAAGTAGTACTACTGGGACAAACACTGAATTGAATGAAGTGTAGTCATCCTGCCAGTGTTAGATACCTACTTTCTATGCCAAAATTGGCCATTTGAAATAGGTATCTGAATCTGCACCCTATTAAGTTGATGACCACATAACATGAATCTGTCAGAAAGAGAAGAATCTATTTCTCATAGGAAGACACAGCACATACAAAGGGCATCATTTGCTTATTTTAATTCTTTCAAGTGATGTGGCAAATGTAAACCTTTGCAGCTCTAAGGGTTTGAATAGGAAAAATTATTGTTAAAGAGTTTGACAATTTGAGTTTTGATTTTTTTTTCTCATAGGGATAGGGATTGTACATAGGGATTTGTTTTAGCTGAACACTAATTTGTCTACAAATTTCTTCTTACATAACAACTGTATTAGTCATCATAAAAAGGGGGAGAGAGACTACATGATATACCCCAGAGTTCAAAATATATCATTACTGTTGTTTTATTTTTATATTTTATGATTGCTTTATTGAATGTCTCTTTGAAACAAGTGGCTTTGAAAATGAGAATTGTCTCAGAGTCTTTGAACAGTTACCAAAGTAGATGATAGAATTGCAGAAAAGTGAGGGAAGGACAGATGCTTTCATCTGAAACAGACACAAATTCAGAAACTAATTTGGAAGTGATAAAAATTAATTTGCACACTTTAATTGGAATCAGACTTCTGCATAAAAGAAAAGAAGG